CAGAGGGAGGAGGAGGAGGAGGAGGAGGAGGAGCAGAGGGAGGAGGAGGAGGAGGAGGAGAAGGAGAAGGAGGAGGAGGAGGAGGAGGATGAAGAACGCGGAGGACGAGGACGTGGAGGCAGATCAGGAACAACGAGGCCGAGGAGCCAAGGCGAGGAGGGAGCACTCGGGGCGAGGAGGGAGCACCCGGCGCGGCGCGCGCCTTGATACGGCGGAGGTTCTCGATGCTGAGCCTACACGGGGCACGTCCGAGCGCCACACTGGCTCCTCCTCCTCCTCCCGCCGCCATCTCCTCATAAATCTGGCACCTGCGGTGCGCTTCTTCTTCTGCTATTTCTTCTTCTTCTTCCCCGTGTTTGCATGCCTGCTCCGAAATCTCCGCACGTGCAATCCTCAGCCGGCCCTCAGACGTGCCTTCAGCCGACGGCTACGCCGCCCTCCAGCCTCCTCCTCTACCTGCCCTCTACTCCTCCTCCTCCCTCCCCCGCCCCCCTCCCCCCCTCCCTTCCTCCTCCCCCTCCTCCTCCTCCTCCTCCTCATCCTCCTCCTCCTCCTCCTCCTCCTCCTCCTTCACGGCGGCCGCAGCGAGGCTGCCGATCGGCTCGGCGGGCGCGCGCGCGGCAGCGGCGGCGCGCCGGGAAGTCGCCCGGCGTCGACGCGGACGGACGCCGCTGGCGCGAGCGTCGCGGCCGCCGGCGCGAAGGCCGACGCGAAAGCCGCCGACGCGGACCGACGGCGCTGGCGCGACGGCGGCGCCGCCGGCCTGTCCTTCTTATGCACTCCTCATGAAGTCCTCTTCCGGGCTCCTCGTTCCTGCTCCCTCCTCCTGGAGGAGGCAGGTGAATGACAGGGTGAAAGAGGGAGGAGGGTGAGGGAGCAGATGGGAAGATCTGCTGTTGTGGGCCCGCGAGGGAGGATGGACCTTCACGAACCTGTCCGTCGTCGTGGAAAGACTTGGAGTGGAAATCGAGCTGAATGTGATATCGCCTGCGTTCATTGCCAAAAGATTCGTTGCGCAGCTTAAGGAAACCAAGATCCAACAATTCGTTTTTAAGACGGCCACCCAAGCCCGAGGGGAGGAGGTGGAAGCGCCTCGAATCCGAGGGGTGTAGTGGGAAGCTGCAGCCAAGTTTATGGGCTTCAAGGTGGCCCAAGAGATGCCCCCGAAAGCCCTCGTATGCCTCAATCAATCTTTAGGAGGAGCGGCCCCAACGGCGATCCAGCTTTGCAAGTGGGGAATAGCCTCCAACTAGATTGCAAGTACCACGGCAAACCAGACTCAGTGTTTCATCGTGTGTGGGAGTGTGCATACGGTAGTTGTGTGCGAGATGAGGTTTGCCCCCCAGTCCTCCTGGAGGATGCCCAGATATCAGGCCCAGACAGTTTGCTGTTCACTCGCGCGTGGATTTTCGAAGTTTGATGTGACCGGCCCAGCAGAGGACGGGGACCTCTAACATGTAGATTTAGAAGGGAGTTGCCAGCCATTTGAGTTTTTGCAATGAAGCGCCAGTGTACTCGGATGGACCCTGTCTTCGTCCTGGCCTCGGGGTCCTGGGCCGCGCTGGTTTCGGAGCTCGTGGGCTGAACCCCGAGGGCTTGCTCCACAAGAGACTGCCTGGCCAGAGCTCGTGTGCTGCCGAGCATGCAGCACTGACAGTAGGAGCTGTTCCCACCGAGGGACGTTCGCCCAGTGAGATTGCGGCTGGTTTCAAGGCGCTGCTCCGAGCAGGCTTCAGCCCCAGAGCTGCTTTGGGCCCTGGAGCCCTCCACGCCCCCTACAACTGTTGATCTCAGTGGCATTCAGGGAAGAAAGGAGGCGGACTGGCTCGGCGCCGTGGCTTCTCGCCTGCGCTCTCGGAGGACCCGGGTCGACGCCACGTGTAAAGGCGTCTGCCCGCTCCCATTCGACGTGCAGGATGCCGCCGCTGCGCGTGACGTGTCGCAGCGTACAGGCGAGCGCACCAGCCTGCATGGCCGTGAGACGACACGCACCCAGGTGCTCCTGCGCACTGTATACTGCAAGCACGCTTAGCACGCAGCCCTCCTTCGTCGAGTAAACAACTTCTCGTAACTCCTTCTCCTCCTCCTCCTCCTCCTCCTCCTACTCCTCCTCCTCCCTCTGGAGGCTTCCCAAATGGGGGCAGAGTAGATGGGGTCGGAGGATTGCGCCGCATCGCCGATGCACCACCTGTGCATCGGCGACGTCGGCGCGAAGGAACTCGGGCTCCACATCGAGCGGCATCGCCGATGCTTCAGCGATGCGGACGAGACCTATGTTGCTTCACATCAGCAATTTGGCCCCTGCTGACTTTTTCAAAATAATATATTGGGATGAAACGCTGCCGCTGGATATATCGAACACAGTTGATCACAACACAAACGCTCCTGCGATCCCCGCCAAAATGGCAAGAAATGGTAAGCTCAGATCCGCATGGCTACATTGCAACCGAACCGCTTGACCACCATCTCGACCGAACTGGCGGAATTCGACCACGCGTCCGACAAAATAAGTTCGACGAGGGATGCGCTGCACAATGCCCCGGCCACGGGCAGCGCTACGAGGGAAAGCGGGCCCTTCGATGTGTCACTTTCAGCGCACGTGAAAGTGACACCTCCCAGGGCCCACTTAAAGAGCACCAGAAAGGCTCCAAGAAGGCCCCGATAAGGCCCCAGGGCGGCACCAAGAGGGCTCCCAGAGGGACCCAAGAGAGGCCCCAATAAGGGCCCAAGAGGGCCCTCCGCGGTGTCACTTTCAACGCCCGTGAAAATGACACCTCCCAGGGCCCACTTAGGGCCTCAGAAAAGCTCTAAGAAGGCCCCGAAAGGGCCATAGAGAGCCGCCCTGGGTTCAACTCCGCGTGGCGGAGTTTGAAGCGATAACTTCAATACCCTACTGGAGGCCTCTTAGGGGCCCTAAGACGGCACTGAAGAACCCCATCGGGGCTTTTTCAAAGGCAGAGGAGGGCGCAAAAAGGGGCCTCAGTGAGCCCCTGGTCTAACTCCACCTGGCGGAATTGGAAGCGATATCGACCGGCGCCTTCATGGAGCCGCTCGGAGCTTCCAAGACGGCTCCAGAAGGCCCCAGGAGGGCCCCAAGAGGATCGAACAACGATTCCTGGAAGTGCACCAGTGAGACCCTTGTTGACCTCCGCCTGGCGGAGTTGGAAGCGACAATTTACAGTGCCCTCTTGGGGCCTCTGGGGGGCCCCTCAGAAAGCTTTGGGGAGCACAGTGAAGCCCTTCGCAGGGCCGCGTGAGAGCCGTACCAGGGCCGCATGTGTGCGCGGATGGGGGCGACGAGTGCTGACGCTGACGAATATGAGAATGATGAGGGCGATCAAGGCTGGCCCGAAACAAATCCTGGCGCCATTGCAGGCCGCCGATTATCGGCCACGCCGCCAGGACGACGACAAGCAACAAAACGACACCAACCAACAAACCGACACCAACCAACAAACCAACAAATCGACACCGGCCAACAAAAGGACACCAAGCAACAAAACGACACCAAGCAACAAAACGACACCAACCAACGAAACGACACCAACCAACAAAACTGCACGAATCAACAAAACGGCACTGACCAACCAAACGACAAATCACTTCACGACACCAATGAACAACGCGAAATCCACCGGCCGCCAACCAAGCATAAAATCAACCGACACAACGAAACCAACCCATAGAGCCAGACCAACCACTGGATTCGTGAGTCGGGGTAGTCATGGAAGTGAGCCGCTGCAGCCCGCGGAAGCCATTAACAGTGACCAGAGCACCGCAATGCAGCAACGTCCCCGGGCGGCGGCGGGAGTCTCGGATCTCCCGCGGGACTGGAGCGTAGCGAGTTCGTCCTGGGTCCGGATTAGTGAAGTGAAGAATTTCGGGGTGCTTGGCAGGCAAAAACCTTCACTTCACTAATCTGGGGCCCCTGGAGCCCCAGGGCGTTTCAGGTCCCCTCGCTGTCTGGGTAGTCCAGGGGGCGCAGTGGCGGCTTACCAGAGGCCCTGTTCCCTAGCCTCACTTGCTTTCACCCGTGGTGCTCGACGGCCGTCTCGGAGCTGTCTTGGGGCGGTCTGGGGCAATCCCGAAGCCTCTTGGAGCCATCCCAAGGCCCCAAGGCGCCACCAATGGGGGCCCCAAGAGAGCTCCCAGAGGGCCCCGAAAGGCCTACAACAGATTGCACGTTCGCGCGAATTCTTTGTACCAATTTGGGGGGTCCCTCTTGGGGCCCTCGGGGAACGTTCTTGGGGCCCTCCGAGGGCCCACTGGGGCCCCGGGATGGCCCCAAGAACGCTCCCAGAGGGCCCCAAGAATGCTCCAAGAGGGCCCCAAGAGGACCCCCACAAGTGACAAAAACTATTTGCATGAGGGTGCAACTTACTCGGCGCCTCTTGGGGCGCTCTTGGAGCCGTGCTGGGCGCCACTCGTGGACGACATGGGCTGGGCGACGGCATGTGGACCCTGTCGCTTGGGCCATCGGGGGTGCTCCCCAATGGGGCCACGGAGCTTGTGAGCGTATGACGGAATGGGCTGGGCGGCGGCCTGTGGGCCCTGCCTGTGGGGCCGTCGGTGTAGCTCCCCGTGGGGCCACGAAGCGTGTGAAACGTATGCCGAAATATGCTGGGCGGCGGCCTGGGAAACCTGCCGCTGGGACCTTTTTTTGGTGGAGCTGCCTATAGGGGCACGAAATGTTTGAGGGTGTCATCAATGTGGCCTGGGCGACGGCATGTGGACCTTGCCGCCGGGACCTCCGATGAGCTCCTCATGGGGGCACGAAGCGTCTGAGGGGCGTGCCGACATCGGCTGGGCGGCGCACTAAGGACCCTGCCGATGGGGCCTTCGGTGGAGCACCTCACAAGGCCACGAGACTTGCGGGGGATGTGGCGAAGCAGAGCCGCGGGGGAACAAGGGGAGTGTTTTGATGATGTTGATGAGGATGGTGGTGGTATTGATGATGGAGACGGCGAGAATGCTGATGATGCTGATGATGATGGTGATGGCGACGATGACGATGGACGATGACGACGGAGACACGCGGAGAGCAGGGGCAGATACGCGAAGAGGGAGGACGAGGGAGTGGGCCGGAAGGAATGACGCGGGGCGGTGTCTCTTCAAAACGAAGAACCAACACTGCAATATGGTAGGAAATTTCTGGACGACCCCCCCCCGTGGCGCGGTCAATGTCCGCGACAGCATCGCTGGCACTACGAACGAAATGATCGAACTCTTCCTGCGACGTTACCCGCGGGGTGGATCAGCAGGGATGGGGGTCGAAACCGCCCCAGCGCAAAGCAAATGTACAATCCTGAGAAACCCCAGCCCACATCAACCGATCCGCAACAAGCACGCAAGCCTTTGACGACCCCAACGCACGAGACATCGCATAACGCGACGCGCCATCGAAAACGTTCGACGCGCGGCCTCGGAATGACATCGGGCTTCATGGAACGTCGAATGGAAAACATGAAAAACCGCCCTGTGGGCTCCGAGACCCAAAATTACTGATGTGAAGGATTTCGGCTCGTCGATGCGGTGTAACCTTCCGACCCTATCAACAGCCAGCCTAAAGAATAAGGACGCGCGGTAACGATGTAAGGGCTTTGGAAGGCCATGCCGACTCTCTGCGAGCGTGGCGCGGCCAACGATGGGCTGGAGAGGGGGGGATGCAAAAGTGACCGTGGAAAGTCGCTCATCCTTCCTATGCGGGTTGACTATACTGCCGCCTCCCCCCTAAAATCGGCGGGTGCTGACGAAAACTCAATTCCAACGTGGGCTGCTCCCGCATGGCCTCGCCCTGGCAAGGCTGTCGCGCTCAAGGGACAGCCGCTGGAGGCGCCCGCCCCTCCCCCCGTCCCGCCCGCTCCTCCGATCGAGGAGGCGGCCCCAAAGGGGAAGCGCGCGCCTCAGCCTGCTCGATTTCTACTACTGACACTATCTCCTCCTCCTCCTCCTCCTCCTCCTCCTCCTCCTTGGCAAGCGTGGGTCTCCTCTGCTCCCCTTCGTGCCCCGTCGCCGCCCGGCCTGCCGTGCGTCCGGGTGTGCTGGCGCGGGTGCTGCCTCCAGCCGAACAAGGGCGGCCCCGGCACCTGCGGCCAGCCCGCGGCGGGGAGAACGAGGCCACGCGCGGACGGGGGGGCCAGGAGGGGGACGAGAAAAAGACGAGGACGAGGAAAAGGGGGACGTGGGCGAAGACGATAATGAAAACGGGGACCGTTGCTGGCAAGAGAAAAGGCGTACAAAACGAGAACGATGGCCCAGCCAGCGCGCGAGGCACGCCCACGTAACGCCCATATAACCGCCAGTGCACTAGCAAACAGGCAGGGGACCCCAAGTGCAGAGCGCTGTTGTTCTAGGGGAGAAAAATCAGCGATTCAGGGGGGCGATGCTGTGAGTGAGCGGGGGACGCGGTGGGCAAGAGGAAGGGGCGGGGAGGATACCAGGAGTTGGTTGTTGGCTTTCCTTCCCCCGTCCCTCCTCCTCGTCCCCTTTCCTCTTCCTCCTCCTCCTCCTCCTCCTCTTCTTGTTCCTCCTCCTCCTCCTCTTCCTCCTCCTCCTCTCCATCCTTCTCCTCCTCTGCCTCTTCATCTTTATCCTGCTCCTCCCCGCCCCTTGTCCGCTTTCTTCTCTACGTTGTCCTCCTCCCTCATCTTCTCGTCCCTCCTCCTCCTCCTCCTCCTCCTGTTTCTCTTTTCGTCCCATGCGGCGCGAGCAGCTCCTGTACTGCTCAATGAGACGACCACATCGCTCTCTCGAGGCTCGTGCTCCCCCCCTCTTCCTCTCCCTCCTCCTCCTCCTCCTCCTCCTCCTTCTCGACATCCTCCCAATATTCCCCCCCTCCTCCTCCTCCGACTCCTCACCCTCGGCTTTCTCTCACCCCCCGCGCGCTGACGGTGCTGCTGCCTCTACAGGGCCGGCCGACCTTGCCGCAGCGCTTGCCGCAGTGGAAGAAGGAGAGCCACCACCACATGTCGACGGGGACGTCCTCGGTACACCACGAAGAAGCTAAGACGCCAGCGCATTCCAATACAGTCGGACGTAGGCCAGAAAAGCAACCCCTCACGAACACGAGGCCCTCGGCCGGCCAGAACGCCCAGAACATCCAAGGATACCCTCCCCAGGGTGCACAATAACATCCAACACATTCAATAGCCCGCCATCGCTCGGACGTCCATTCTCCGTACATGTTTCAATGTCGTACATTTGTTCTTTCGCGAGATGATCCCAGATGCTCCTAGATGGCCCTCGCGGACACAAGACGAACACGTCCAAGTGACGCCAAGATAAAGGAAGAAACCACGGCATAAAACCATTACCTGCGATTTTTGCTTGGATTTCGCTTGGATCTGCGCTGACCCCCCCCTCCCTGCGCCGCCATGGGAGGGGGCTCCCTCCTGCGCGGATCAAACAAAATCCGTGCGGAGCTCCAGCGGCTGATGCTAGATGATGAAGAGGAGGAGGACGGGGGAAACTAAAATGCTGAAGAGGTTCGAGCGCTGGTGCGCCGCGTCGCCGCGAGCCAGGAGAGAGGAAGGGAATCTAAGACAGGGAAGATTTGGAAGGGAGAAGCATGACACCAACTGCGGAGAGGGAGGAACAAGGATGAGGACTGACGGATGAGAAGGAGGATGCTAATGAGGAAGAAGAGGGGAACTGGATACAACAAAAAACAGTGGAGAAGAAACGGATTATGAAGATACAGAGAGGAGGAAGGCGAAGCTGGAAGATGAGAAGGAGGAGGAGGAGGAGGAGGAGGAGGATGAGAGCGAGAGATACAGAAAGAGAGAGAGAGAGAGAGAGAACTATGGGGCGGTCCGAAGAGGGGAAGGAAGAATGCTGGCTGTGCGCGGGAGGGAGTTGCATGACGTGGAGGAGGGAGGGGAGGGAGAGACATCAGCAGCAGCAGCAGCACGCTGAGCCCGCGACCAGCGCGTCCCCGAAGACCGCGCCCTCGTCGTCGGGCGCGCCCGCGCCTCGAGAGCTCCGTCTGCACCTCCTCCTCCGTTCTCCTGCCCTCCCCTGTCCTCCATCCTCCTCTTTTTCCTCCTCTTTTTCATCCTCTCTTTCCTCCTCCTCCTCCTCCTCCTCCTCCCACTCCTTCGTTCTTCCTTCCAATGGTGCTTCATCGAAGTGCTCGCGATCGACACCCACGTGCCTCGAGCGACGTGCAACGTTGGGGCAGCACAGCCCATGACGGCACCTGTGCGCGCATGATCCCGCTGCAGCCAGTGCGAGATCTGCGAAGACGACCGCCAGCTGCTCACCGAGGGCCGCCAAGGCCCAACTTGCCACGGCAAGGTCGAGCTGCTCAAGCCGAGGTAGAGGCCTCCCCAATTGAAGGGCCCTGGGACACACAAATGAGTAATGACAAATACCACTATTCCCTGTATTTTCACATATTTTCTGCGGTTTCGTATTCCCCCCACTTCCTATATTGTCCCGTGCTTTCCTAAGGATCGACGATTAATTGTGTCTGTGTGTTTTTCCCCTCCTGAAAAATGGGGTCAGGGCAGAGGAGGTCGGAAGGCCGCGCCGCATCGTCGATGCATCACCGATGCGTCGGCGCCGTCGGGGATGCATCGGCGACGTCGGCGTGGAGAACATCAGGTTCTACATCTAGCCGCACCGCCGATGCGGCGAGGACCTCCGACCCCATCTACTCGGGCCCCATCTGGGGAGCCGCAGCACAGCCTCCGGGTCGCCACGCTGCTTCCGAGGACGGCGAGACGGACGGCGCCGTCCAGGCCGACGTCTCCGCGCTGGGCCGCGCCTCCGGGCCGCAGGGTCAGCGCGAGAGCGCGGCAGCGTGCCGCAGCAGGCCCTCCCGGTCGGCCCAGGGCAGCGGGTGCGGTGCTGTCGGCCGCACGCACGTGCGGCCCTGGGCCCGTGGTGGGAGGAGGAGGAGGAGGGAGGAGGAGGGGGAGGAGGAGGAGGAGGAGGAGGAGGAAGGAGGAGGAGGAGGAGGAGGAGGAGGAGGAGGAGGGGGGAGGAGAGGTGGAGAGAGGCGTAGGGCAGGGGGAGGAGGAGGAGGAGGAGGAAGGGGAGGACGAGGAGGACGGAGGAGGCAGGGAGGGAGGTGGAGAAGGAAAAGGGGGGGCGGAGGAGGGGGAGGAGAAGGAGGCGGAGGAGGAGGAGGAGGAGGAGGAGGAGGAGGGGGCCTTTGGTGCGCGTGCCCGTGGGGGCACGGCCTGTGGGCAAGGCCCAGGTGCGCAGGCCCGTGCTGTCGCAGCGCTGTGCAGGCGCTCGGTGCGGCCCCAGGGGCCCGCACCAAGGGGCCACTCGTCGAAGGTCAACGCCCTACGTCTAGAGAGGAGGAGGAGGAGGAGGAGGAGGAGGAGGAGGGGGAGGGGGGGAAGGAGGGGGGAGGAGGAGGAGGAGGAGGAGGAGGAGGAGGAGGAGGAGGAGGAGGAGAAGGAAGAGGAGGCGGAGGAGGAGGAGGAGGAGGAGTTGTCCACGCGCACAGTCGTCGTACGATGGGTCTATATGCGATCGGTCGGAGGTGTTGCGCAGGCAGGCACGCGCCGCAACACAACACACAAAAACAAATAGACGCGCGCGCGCTCCCTGCGGTGCTGCCGGCGTGGCACGGCGAGAGCCCGGCGCCCTCGCAACCTCGGGCGTCGGGCCTCACGCGCTCTTTCGGTGGCAGCTCGTGGGAGCCTCGCACATCATCTTGTCGGCTCTCGCGAATCGACGCTACATCGACGCTACTGCGACGCTGACCGACGCAACACCGACGCTAATCGCCGCTACATCGACGCTCAGGCGACGCTACATCGGCGCTAACTCATCGACTCCCAGACGACGGAATTCAGAGGGCATACTGGGCTCCCATGATTCGCTACCGAAGCATCAGGCGCTCTGGCGTGCTCGACGCCATCTGCAGGAACTCCGAGCTCACGTTGTGAAACTTCGTGCCGGGAAGCATTGAAATCAGAGCGCCGTGACAACGAGCGGAACCTCTGCTCGTCGCAATCGCAGAGCAGACGGCCCTACGGTGCATGTCTGGAAGGAGAGAAAACGGCATAAACATAAACTTTTGGCGCTCCGCTCTGGATTCTTGGATCCGCGCTGGGCCCCCCCTGGCGGCGTCTCCGGCGCCGCCCCTGGCGCGCTCCGCGCGCCAGGTAGGGGGGTCCAGCGCGGATCCAAGAATCCAGCGCGGAACGCCGAAAGTTTATGTTTATGGCGTTTTTTCTTCTTCGAATGTCGGCGCCATCTGCTGCGCGAGGCGGGCTCGAGCTGCGGCAACCTCAAACGGGTGCCCCTCGTGGGGTCGCTCCGGCGCCGTCGCTCTCGGCTTACCACCGTCCCCCAAACGGGGGCGCGTGGCGCGCGCGTGCACGGCGGGACGCACAAGAGACAGGAGGACGTCTTGAACAGGGACCGACCGTCCCGGCATCTCCTCCTCTCCGTCCCTTCACCTCTTCCTCGTCCTCATCCTCCCTCCTCCTCTTCCTCCTCCTCCTGCTCTTCCTGCTCATCCTCCTCCTCCTCCTCCTCCTCCTGCTCTATAAGCCTACCCCGGCATGTTCTTAGAACACCAATGTTCTCTGACCATAAAGCCGACGTATTACAAGACGGCCTGAACCAGAAATGTGCTGAGAGCATGCCGTGCAAACCACAAAAGGTTCGCAGGGCATTCTTTGGTGGGTCTACAGGCAAGCCAGGACGCCTCGCCACTGCTTGGACGCCAGTCATCTACGCACACGCGGACCACGAGGGAAGGGCAGGAGAGCCCAAAATCGAATCGGTAAGTCGAATCGACAATCGAAATGAATCGGATTAGCGGAAATCTGTGGCCGACTCGGAAAAAGTCGAGTTGGCGGGAATCGGCTAGTAGGCCCCCGCTGAAAAATCTGGAGCTACATCGGAATCCGAAGTCGAATCGAATCGGAACCAATCGAAATCGAATCGAATCGGATCTGAGGAATCGAAACGAGCCCTGGAAGGGCAGCGGTATGGGTAACTACCCTTCATCCTCTGAGAAGGACGCCAAGCATCCACCCCACACGCGATCCCAACCAGGCACGCGCGCCACCCCGGCCTGGCTCGGGAGTAAAAAAAACAACGACCCCTGGCCCCGGGGTTGGCCTGGCAAGGCCCGGTGCGGGCAAATTGGCCCGACAACCCAGCCCCAAGCGGAAGCGCCGGAAAGAGAGCGCAGAGCAACAAACCCAATCGCGCAAGACGCAACTATCACATCGCATTCGGCGATCGGGGGACCCCAGTGGGCCCGCACCAAATGTCACTCCGGCGAAATGTCACTCTTACCTGTAATTAGCCCATCAAGGCCTCCCAGATGGGATCCGAGCTCAGCAGGACCTAGGATAGAAAACATCCTGCAAGAACATGCGACCCTGCGCCAGCCCAAACCGAAGAATATTCGAGGGTGCACCCTCCCCCAGGGTGCACAATAACATCCAACAGACACGAAACACACCAGGGTACCCTCCCCGATCCAGACTCGATCCTATACCTCGGTTCGACCGTCAATGGGGTCGGAGGATCGCGCCGCATCACCATGCATCACCGCTGCATCGGCGATGTCGGCGCCGCATCGGCGATGTCGGCGTGGATAGCATTGTCATCTTCCTTCTCCTCCCCTCGTCCCCCCGGGCGCGCATTTGGCGCGTTGTCGCTGTCTTGTGGCGCGTCGGGCGCCTCCTGTCCGCCAGCTAACGCATAGGGCGTTGGTCGCAGGCTCGCCAACTGTCTCGCTGAGTGTCTTGCCCACGCGCGTTTTGCGTACAGTGGAGGCCAGTCCACAAGAAAACCTTCCACAAGAAACCCAACCCTAAGACCCCAGGACGTCCTTTGATTTTTGGTGTGGGAACGTCACGCTTTCCATCGCACAACTATCGAAACCCAAGAAACCCAGGGCACCCTGAAGACAAGCAGGGTGTGACTTGGCATGTGGCTGCTTCGCTTCCACTTCGAGCCCGATCGCCGATGCATCGGCGATGCGATCGGGCGGCCAGTGCACAGGCAGAGGCACCGGGGCCAAGCATTGACTGTGCAAGTAGTGCCTGCACCCGGGCAACAATTCGTTTGTCTTGTCCCCCTTCTCGTCCCTCTCCTGGGTCCTCTGCTCCTCCTCCTCCTCCTCCTCCTGCTCCTCCTCATGCTCCTCCTCCTGCTCCTCCTCCTGCTCTTCCTCCTGCTCCTTCTCCCTCCTCCTCCTCCTCCTCCTCCTCCTCTGACCCTATTTGAGAGGCCCCGTACTCCAGGCTGGCACCGCCAGCCCCGGCGGCCATGTGCGGGAGGAGGACGCGTCGTTTGAGCACGCGTCTACCTGGCGCCCCATGGGGGCAAAATATGAGAGAGAGCGTGATCCACCGCCGCTTTACTGTGGAAAATTCCCCCGCCTCTTCCTCCTGAACCCAGGGGTCCCCCCCCCTCAGAACCCCCCCCCCCTGCTGGACCCCCACCCCTCATTCCCCCTGGCAAACACGCCCCCCTCCCCTACCCCCCCCCTCCCTCGGAAACCAGGAGGGGTCACTGCAGGTTCGAACCCCCCCCCACCCCCCGAAAACCAGCAAGGTGGGGTCACCACCGGCTCGAACCAATCCCCCGCCCCACCCCCCCAGAAAACAGAGGAAGGTCATACCGGTTCGAACCCCTCCCCCCGCCCCTTCCAGGAAAACAAAGGGGGGTCACCGGTTCGAACCCCCACCCCTCGAAAACCGGGGGCGGTCACTACAGGTTCGACCCCCCCCTCCTGGAAAACGGGGGGGTCTTTACCGATTCGAACCCCCCCTCCCCCTCGAAAGCCCGGGGGGGGTCACTACTGGTTCGAACCCCCCCCCACGCTCGGGTCCCTACCACCGTCCGCACCACATCCCCCACTGCTGCCCCCAGCACCACTGTCCTCACCACCACTGTCCCCACTGTTCCCACCACCGTCCCCTCTGTCCCCACCAGTGCCCCCACCACTGTCGCACTGTCCCCACTGTCCCCACCAATGTTCCCACCACGGTTCCACTCTCCCCACTTTCTCCACGGCCCCAACCACTGTCCCACTGTCCCCACTGTCCCCGCCGCTATCCCACTGAGCTGTCCCACTGCTCCCACCACTCTCCCCACTGTCCCCGCCACTGTCCCCACTGCACCTCTGTCCTATTATCCCACCGCCGTCCTCGCCACCGCCCTCACCACTGTCCCCACCACCAATGTACCCTCCACTGTCCCACTGTTTCCACCACATTCCCACTGTCTCCACACCACTGTCCCCACCACTACCGTCCCCACCACTGTCCCACTGTCCCCACTGTTCCTACCATTGTCCCCGCTGTCCCCACCAGTGCCCCCACCAGTGTCTCACTGCCCCCACTCTCCCCACCATTGTCCCGCCACGGTCCCACTCTCCCCACCTTCCCCACGGTCCCTACCTCTGTCCCACTGTCCCCACTGTACCCACCAGTCCCACTGTCCCCGCCGCTGTCCCACTGTGCTGTCCCACCGTCCCCACTGTCCCCATCGTTGTCCCACTGTCCCCACTGTCCCTTCCACTTTCCCCACTGTACTACTGTCCCACCAGTGTCCTCACCACCGCCTTCACCACTGTCCCCACCACTACCGTCCCCACCACTGCCCCTCTGTCTCCACCATTGTCCCGCTGTCCCCTCACCACTGGCCCCACCACCAGTCCCCACCACTGTCCGCACCACTGTCCCACTGTCCCCGCACCACTGTCCCCACCACCACCGTTCCCACCACTGCCTCAGCATCCCCACCATTGTCCAACTGTCCCGAGGAGCGGGAATCGTTTGCCTGCGGCGAGGGGGGAGGGGAGGGGGGGGTCGAATCGGTAAAGACCCCCCCTCGGTTTTCGAGGGGGGGGGCCGGGCCGGGGGTTTGAACCGGTAGTGACCCCCCCCGCTTTCGAGGGGGGGGTGGTTCGAACCGGCAGTGACCCCCCCTTTTCATGATGGACTGGGGGGGGGGGGGGGTTTGAACCGGTAGTGACCCCCCCTCAATTTTCGAGGGGGGGGTTCGAACCAGCAGTGACCCCCCCTGGGTTTTCCGCCAGCAGCGGTAGAACACGCTCTTTCAAATATGGCAACAGACCAGTTTCGGCTGAAAAAGGTCGGGCTTTCTGGCGGCCTAGAACCAGACGAAGGCGCAAGAAAATCATGTTGTCTTTTGGGACGGTCCCACCTTGTTGTGAAAAAGCCCCCAGCATCCCCGCCCCTCCCAGCCCGCCAAGTGTTGCTGGTGGGGACAAGGGAGAAGGATGAGGAGGGGTCAGGGTGAGGGGTGCAAATTCGGGGAGCGTTTATTGACCGCCGCCTCACCGATCCTGGCCAGGCCGATCCCAGGCCCAAGGTGAGCCTGGCCAGGATCGGTGAGGTGGTCGGCTGATGCCCGGACTGGAGGGCATCAGAACCACCCTCGTATACGAAGCACTCCTGCAAGCGACACCCTCGGGTAAGCGCACCTCGGGAAGGCATCGCACAGGACAGAACCGTGTCGTGAACGCACGGGGCTGCTCGGCAAACGCCAGTCGATGCGGGTCGGCCACACGTAGGTGACCTCTGGTGCGCGACTTCACGGGGGACGCGGGGTGGCCAGACCAGGGCGCGCAAGCAGCTGCTGCCGCTTCGCGTTCAGCGATCGGGGGACCCCTCTGGACCTGCACCAACGGTCACTCCAGCGAAAAGTCACTCTTACACGTAACCGAGGAGTGGGCTTGCCTCGAAGAAGACGGGGGGGGTTCTTGGAAGGCAGGGGGCCTTCTCGGGCCTCCGAGAAGGCCTCTTCTGGAGGCCGGGCGGGCTGCGGAGAAGCCCCCCTGCCTTCCCGGAAGCGCCGCCGCCTTCTTCCCAGTCGTGCGAGGCCCTCTCACGTCCAGTCGAAGTTCTCCCTCCCCGGGAGGAGGGTGGAGAAGCCAGAGCGGGGCCTGCTGCGTCGCACTCGGGCGCTGTTCACCCAGGCTCGCACCTCCGGTGCAGCACGCGCGCCGCGCCCATTGCTGAGCAAAGCAAAGCGCGCTCCGCGAAT